TGGCACTAGCTCATCCCAAGTAATATCAATTATGATGGAAATTGTTGCAAATCATAACTCTGCTCATAACTCCTCTCTCAGAGGGTTTAATTTGCCGCATATATTTTGGTGCACCATGCAGATACTTTCGTTACAATTTTTAGGACAGAATGGAGTTCCATGATACCTCTCTCCATGTTTATTCCCCTTCTGGTTAATGCATGTTTTTTTAATAAAAGTGGAGCTTCTGTGTACTAATTTAATACTGTTTTTTGATCTGAGTGGTTTTTTTTTTTTTGGTTATATACTATATTAATTTAATTATTTAATGTAATTAAGTGATGTAAGGGAAAAGAAGAAAAATGGCTCCAGTTAAACAGCTTGTCTGGAAATACTTGGTTATTAAGAGATAATGCCAGGAGAGAAAAGACCTTTGTAAAGCAGATCAAAAGAAGTATGGCAGGTTTAAAAAGGAAAATCCTCTCAGGAGAGGGAGCAGTTGTTTGGGGGGAACCCAAACTGTGATAACAAGGACTTGCTGGGAGTGCTGAAATAAATTAGATTAATTTAGGTTACCATCAAGGGTAATATGAAGGTAATATAGATGTGTGTATAGATTATTTATTGCTTCAAAATCCTTTGTTTCTAGTTCCAAAATAACTACTTTGAAAGAAGTCTTTTGAGAAGGCTGTTTTGCCACTGAATACCATTGGTTCCAGATTCTTAATGGGTGTCTGAGTACCACTGGAACTGCTAAGTAAGTACACCTGGTACACAGGGTACTAGGAACTGATCCAAGGGTGAGAAAGCTGCAAAACATGTAAAAGCATAAAACTAACTTCTCAGGGTTGTGCTCAGGGAGACCAGGAAATGGAAAGAGGAACAGCTAGCCATGCATCTGTGACATCTCTTGAGTCATGCAAGGATAAAATTTAGGCAAGTTGCACTTCTCTTTACAGACAACAGCAGTTCAACTGTGTGTCATAAAACAAGAGATTTATTTACATCACTATTCAAATAATATAATGAAGGAACAAAAACCCCCACCAACAGACTGAGGGTCTGAGTCTCTTACATTAAGACAGAGGGTGCTGGCAGTGGGAAGGCCTTAAATACACAGGAAATACGATATCAGTAATTTGCACTGGGCACCTGCCTAGCTGCATACAGTTGGCAGATTTTTGTGGTATGTGCCTGTCTCTAATATTTGGGCTTTATTCCTTTCTTCCCTAAATTAATGTAAAGCCCACTTTAACATCTTTTGAAGATTGGTGCAAATTGGCCTTAGTGTGAAAATGAGAGTAAGTCCTGACACTGGGGCTAGGCACACACCTCAAAAATCAGTCCCTGTGCATTCAGCTAGGCAGATGCCCAATAAAGATTACCGATATCATGTTCCTTGTTTATTTATATCAAACAATTTTTATTTGAAACCTGCTATTAGTGTACACAGCGAGCCTGTGTAGCTATATGTTCATATAAGGGTGACCTTAATTGGCCTCTCTCTTTTCCTATTTATGTCCAATTGTTTTCCTTTATCTTAAATTAGTTTATAAATTTTTGGCACTGATGCTTTTTTTACTATATGCTTGCACAATGGGACTTCTGGGTGGACCTGAAATACAAATAAACAATTATAACAGCTTTACAATGAATGTCTTTTGGTTGTGCTGGTGCCTCGGGTGTTTTAATTTATTTAGACATTTAAGTACATAGGTTTTACATGCACAAGTAATCATAAAAAGTGAATTTTAAACCTGACTATTCTATCTTTTCCAGTGTATGGCACTGTGCAGTGAAAGGGTACCCTTAACCTTTCTCTGGAGTCCCGACACAGGAGCTTACAGTTATTTTATGTGAATGTGACAAGACAACCTCAATGTAATCTCCACCCTGCTCCTGCCAAAACAGCGTACAGGATCTGAGGCCAAAGCTAGTTTATTCTCCTATTCTGCCATGACACAAGAAAGTAAGGCTCAGAATTAAGTAAGGAGCACTAGTATTTATAATTTTAAAACAAAATAAATGTACGCATGTGTGTGTGCACATGTGTATGTGCACACACATGTGCACACACGTACAGATTTATGCATATGAATGAAAATAGTGCATATTTGGCTGCTTTCACCATCACTCACCCTTTTTTGTGGTTGTTCCATTTCCTGAACTGTAAAGTTAGAAGTGGCATGTGCCACAATACCATTGCACACAAGATTCTCAATTCCAGTCAGGGCATTCAGCTATTACCATAACAGAAATACAATATTAGAGGCATAAACTCAGAGAGGAAATGTTTAGCATTTTCTAATCCAATCTCATCCAATTTTTCTACCTCCTCCCCCTATTTTTCCTGACATTTCATACCTCCCTCCTGATTATAGAAGTTATATTTAGCTTATGACTTCTTGATAGGATCTTCAGGGATGGGCAAAAGGTGTATCTGGTGAGTGGCCAGACTCCTTTTCCCAGCAGCCCCCACTGCTGGGAAATCATTGCTGTGGCTGGTTTCCATGGAGACCCCAGTAGTGGCAGTGGCATGACAGCGCAGGGCTGGAGTTTCGATGGAGATCAGCTCTAGCAGTGCTGGCCGGCTGCATGGCTGGGTGGGGAGCTGCTCCAGGGCCAGGGCTGGGATCTTGCAGTGCTGACAGCATTGTCTGGAGGCAGGCAGAGCTGCGATCCACTGCCTGCACACCCCTGCCTGAGGTGTGTGGGCAGTGGATCACAGCTCTGCCCTGACTCTGGACCATGCTGCCAGCGCAGCTGGGGCCAGTCTCCATGGAAACCCTGGTCCCCCACTGGCATGGCACCACCGCTTCTGGGATCTCCATGGAAACTGGCTACAGTGATGTGGGGGGCTGGGAAATGGAGTCCTCTGTGGCCCTGACGTGGCCACAGGCTGGACTTTGTCTGCCCCTGTTCTAGAACTAGAAGATCTAGAACTTTGTATTATGTGTCTATTAGCGTGGCCACTGAAGCTTCTCCAGACTCCAGGCTCCTTGGCAAGAGGCAGGCCCCCACAACCAATCAGTGGTGAGGGGCAGGGCCATTTCCTCCTCTGCCAATCAGCAGTGAGAGGTGGAGCCACTGGGTCCATTGGTCAATCAGCAGCAAGGGGTAGGGCCATGACCTCCCTCTGTCCCTCCCTGGCAGGCTTGGAACCCTACCTCTAGACACAGCCAATCAAATCAAGAGGACAAATGATTGACATATATTTCAACCAATGAACTGAAAAACAGGACTTTTTGCTGTCCCATCCTCCTTCAGAAATGGACAGGGGTGACAAAGGGTTTAAAAGCAGGATGGTCTGGTATAAAACAGGAACAATGGCCACTCTATTGTTTATACAATGCCTAGCACAGAAAAGGTGTAGATCCTTAACAGCAGCCCAGGCTATGACATACAGTTGGCAGGTACTACTACTACTATCAAGTCACCCAACCAGGGAACATAAAGTCCTAAGGGCTAGACTCAATAAAGCAGGGGTTGAGAAAATTTTTGCAACTGCAAGCTGCTGCTTATAACCAGGGATCCATGGAAAAATGGAAAAAAACCACTGGATTTTCCCTTTATCCAAGAAAAATGTAGATTTTTAATTTTAACAGAGAAACCTGTGGATTTTTCTCTTTTGCAAGGAACTCTCTGCAGGCTGGCAGAGTTCCAGCCTGCAAGGGACTGGAGGGAGGGTGATTAGGCAGAGGGTACCATGTACATGTACATGCACATGGCAGCCAGGCAGCTTGGAGAACAGGTCCTGTAGGTAAGTCTGGTGGGGGTGGAAGGGGTTGAGGCCCCCATAGGAAGGGAGGGAGGGAGGGAGTTGGGCATGGCAGGGCTAGGGCTGGGGCTTCTGCCCAGCCAGGCAGTGAGTGGGACTTGGGGCCCAGGGCTGCAGTGCACAGCCACTGGGCCCCAGCAGGGAGCAGGACAGGGCCATGGGCAGCTCATCCAGGGAGTGGGGGGTGGGAGGGGATAGTTCTCCACCACTGCACGTACTCCCAGGCAGGTAGGGGGGGACCCATGCACCCAAGATCTGTGCATGGGTCAGGTGCAGGCTGCCTGCTGTGGGCTTAGGCTCCCCGTCCTCCTGCCCTCTCCCTGGGGGCTCCTCAGTCCAGTGGGCGGGACCTAGCATGGCAAGGCACAGTGAAGCCAGATGAGGAAGCAGCTTGCTGCTGCAAGCTCCATGCTGCCCTGGCAGCATGGCCCCTGCCCATTCTGCAGCAGTGCAGGTGGCAGCCTAGGATTGTACCACTTGCTGCTGTGGGGTGGGCAGGGCACACATTGCCAGGGCAGCACAGAGTTTGCAGCAGCAAGAAGCTTCCTCTCCCAGCCCCGCTTGGCCCTGCCATGCCAGGTCTTGCCTGCCGGGCTGCGGAGGCCCCGGGGAGGGCAGCAGGGCAGGGAGCCCAAGCCCACAACAGGAAGCCTGCACCCACCTTCACCCCCACCCTGCACACAGATCTAGGGGCCACGGGCCCCCTCTTCCTTTCTGGGTGTGCATGAAGTGGTGGGGAACCAGCCTCACTCACCTGAGCCCACAGTGGGCAGCCCACTCCCACCCCCCCATGGGCTCCACTCTGGCCACGCCACCCGTGAGGGAAAGGGAACCGGGCTCCCCACTCGGGCCACAGCCAGGGCTTGGGCACTCCTGCAGGGGGCTGGGGGCTGCAGACCTGGGTCCCAGGCCCCATAGCTTTGGCAGCTGGGGGCCATCTCCATCAGGGCTGGGGTGGGCAGGGGGCTGTCAGGGAGTGAGGGGCATTGGCAGGGCCCAGGGGGCTCTAAGTTAGGTATAAAGAGCACCAGCTGGGCTAGGGGTCTGTGGCTTTGGAGTGTATGGCCTAGACCTGCATCCTGGTGAGCTAAGGGGGAGGGGAGCTCTGAGTTTCCATAATAAAAAACTTAAAATCAAATACCAAAATGTATAAGCACTTAAGCATTTATTTGATTATCAACACTACTATTTTACTAGTGATTGAGGCACTGGTAGGCTTCCAAACTGATTTAAATTTATAAATATATCAATAAAACATTGTGTACAAGTGATACCTATGTATATATTAGTGGGGTGTGTGTGTATATTTATATTTACACACACACACACACACACACACACACACACACACACACACACACTAATATATACATATTAGTGGTATTTAATTTTAATCATAGCTTTTGGGGTTTTATCAGAGAATTTGCAAGTTTTTATTAGGGAAAACCAGGATCCCTGCATATGACCCAGCCCCTCATGCAGGCTGTACCCCTGGCAATCAGCAGGTGTGGTGAGGGTAATAGGTAAGTGGTAGGACCCAGGGAATACCTCCTTTGTTGCAATAGATGCTTGAACCCTGAGGGTGTGCCTCTGTTGCTGTGGCTGGAGTGTGCTGCCTAGTTCACACCCAAATCCCACTAGGATCCAGTCCTTAGACAAGATTGCCTAGTTTCTGAATCCTGGTGGGGATTTAGAGCAAGTCAGATGCTGAGCTGGTCAGACTTATTAAGACAGGAACACTTCAGGGCATACACAGAAGTCAGTTCTAGGTGCTTGGGGAACTTTAAAAGTAAAAAAGTAAGGTGCCTATGGAATTTGAGGGCCTCCATGTTTAGGAAGTGACGGGTTTCAGGCCTGCATTGCGCTTATAACCACTTTAGTTGCCTAAATTCTTTTTGGGTCTGGCCCTAATCTTTGCTAAGGTTCAGAGCCACCCTACCTGGCAAAATAACTATTTTACAAACAGACACCTGTAAATGTAAAATAGAAGGAAAAACACCTATACTGTATTGCATGTAATCAAGCTCCAGCTCTACTACAAATGTTAAGCAGTATGGAGGGAAATGCACACACTCAGATACTGGAAAGCAGAAACCACACTGTTTGGAAACCACTGAATGATAAAAAAGCATGCAGATTCTAAAATTAATGCATTCTAACATCACCTCCCCCTAAAACCATGATCCCAATAAACACCCAGATGCACACTTTGAAATGTCATCCCTGACTACTATAGTTATTCTTTGGGTACCTAAAATCTTGGTACTTAGGCAAATAAACTGAGTCCTTCCATGACATTTGACCATGTCAGGGTTCCAATTTTCTAACTGCCTAAACTTCAGAGAAACATCCTCATGTGGTCCAGCAAATTGCTGTTTGACCAGATCTTTTACGGTTTCATCTAATTACCTCTTAAAGGCTATGAGTGTAGCTCAAGTCACTTGCAACGTTGTTGGCTTGTGTTGAAAGGATGTAAGCCTTTCATAGCTGTGAATATTTTTGTTTCTTGACTTGTAGGTTTGAGGGCTGCCAATGTTTTTACACTATCATTACATAATAAAATAATTTGACAACTTTTGTTTGCATAATAGTGTTAAACAAAAGTAATTATTTTACCTGCTTCTTTCCTAGACCTGACAGCTTATTTAACATCTCCCCCAACTATACAGCTGGTCCAATAAAAGATATGACAAGTCCTGATTCTCAGTGTTGTTAGTTACATTTTGAATGCCATTCAAGAGTCACTGATACAACCACAGACTGGATTAAATTTGAAACGGGAGGGGGGGTGGGAATGGTGTAGTCTATTTGCACATGGATGTTAAGGAGCTGAATACTTATGCAGAAAAAGAGTGCTAAGTTATTAAATCTGAGGAGAAAGAATAAGAGGTAACTTGTAACTGAAGATAGTTTTCAAGGAGTCTGGCAAATGGAATTTTGATAATGAAGACACTAAGATACGCATAATGAATCTGCTGTTTGGCAGGTTTTGTTTTTAGAAATTACAATTCGGTATCACTTCAGCACCTGAAACATTTCACAGACCTACAGAACATAGATTTCAGAGCCTAGCAGGCAGATGAATACAGGTTTACAGTGTTATTAGCTTGGATACTCAACAGGGAAAAGAAAGAGTCAATTCCTACCATGTAAAACAACATTCCTAGGCCATAATAAATTACCCATTGCTGGGATACAGCTAAACAGAAGAGAGCTGCTGAAAAAAATATTGATATCCCAAAGCTACTAATCATCACCTATCAACCAAGTGAAAGAAACGTTTAAATATAATTAACCATCTGTATGAATTCACACCAAGTTTGGCATCTAAAACTTCAGTACCTCCCCATAGTGTTTCATTCCAACTATCATTACTTCAATTATCACTTCATCTACCTCTACAATCTTTTCAAATAAATTCGTTCTGATCATTGTTCAGGATGGCGTTCCCCAAGGAAATTGCATCCTAGATTTTTTTTCTTTGCTCCATTTCTTTCTAGGATGCTGCCCTATTTCAGGCAGCTCTGCTGTACTTTGTGTTAGTCTCTTGCTTTCTCTCCTCAGTAGCTCCAGTTAATCCGTTTTCAATTGGTGTTAAGCCTTTGGCCTCAGATTTTAGTAGTGGCTTCCTTCCAAACCATAGTTGTTTCTTTTTCTAAGTTATGTCTGGGTTTGGAGGCAGCTGCTCCCTAGTTTGTCAGTCTGTCTGTGAGGGTCCAGGACAATAGCTTTGTATAAAATACTTCGACTGTGACAGCTTAGGAATGTGGCTTTGTCCCCAGGGCACCTGCCATTCTGCCAGAAGTGAGGGAAGATGCTTATGTAATTCTGATGAGATTCCCATTCTGATGTCCCCTCTCAGGGTTTTTTGCTGCAATGTCACGTTATTATTGGGAAGCTCTAGATTATTTCCCTCCTACTTATGATTTGGAGAGCAGGCATTTTCAGGGGACCTCTTGTTTCCTATGCATTCTAGAACCAGCTCTAGAAAAGTCTAGGAAGAGTGAATGGGTTGGCATTAGAAATGGGAATTCACGCTCTTATGTCAGTAACTCTATATTCCAGACACCTAAACCCAAGAAGAGTTCCAGTTTGTCTCAGACTAGGAACTGAACCCAAGAGTAGGAATTCTGTATGATAACATCTTCAGAGAAATGGAATTGCAGTTAAGTAATTTTGTTTTCTATACTTCACACAAATGTTGGGAGGATAAATTCATGATCCATAAAGTGCCCACATATTATGGCAATGAGGGCCATACCCCTAAATACACCTGGTTTGCAATCAGCACCAGTGATATGGATAGTGGCCCATCCATACCATTTGAGCAAAAAAATTAAACCATTTGCAATTATTTATACATTCTGTCTCTCTGTTCACAAGCAAAAAGAAAGCTTTGGCTTTATTACTTTGTCATGTAGTTTCCTTAGACTGGAATGTGCATCTTGTAAAATTACTAATGGGTCAAGTATGATATGCAAACTTTCCTGTATGTATAACGAATGACCTAACAATGAAGTCTTTCTTTAAAGTGGATGGCTAAAGGTCCATAAAGAAACATTTTCGCAAATCAACAAAACATTTTGTACAATACCATCCCAAGAAAGGGCATTTTTTTCAGTGTATCCCAACTTCGAAACAGATTATTACATTTCAGAAACAAGAACTGGAGATTGGTCCAAAATGTATCTTATGGATCCAAATTCAAACTTCTCTGAAGTTTGAGACTGTTCAGATTTGAGCTGGTCCCAACCAACTATTTGTCCTCTTTAGAAGTAAAAAATGGATACTTTTTAAAAAGAATAAGATATATCATGGACTCCTGCACTTCAGCTGTCAGGTTTTGTTCAGGAAATTTACTGAAGTGAGACAGCATCCTCCAGAAAAAGTGGAAGACAAAGGAGTAAATTATTTATCATACCTTATATCAGCTATGTGGCTGTATTCTCTTACTCCTGTCATTTTCTAGGACAGGAACCACCTTACGGTTAGAGCTCTGGACTGGAACTGAGAAGAACTGCGTAGTTTAGTTCTTAGTTCTGCAACAAATTTCTGCGACCAGAGCTGAGATGTGGATTTATCTGTCTCAGTTTCCGCCCTGTGTAAAGTAAGGTATCATAAATATAAATCCATAAATATCCAAGAGGTATTCAGACAGTATCACAAATATCACACTGTCTAACTAGAACATTTTTGAAAGCAGTACTGGTGCTTTGTGTCTAGATTTTATTTGTCTTCTCTGGTCCATTTTTTCACTTTTTATTGTCTGACAATATTTTTCAGGATTA